CAGTGCGCATTTTTGGCTCAGTGAAAACGAGACGACCAATAACTGAGCAGTACGCGACGAGATAGCCCTAGACATGGTCAACGGAGCGAGGACAATCTGCCTATATTGATAAAATAGCGTTTGGTTCGAAATTACCTGAAGTTTCTGACGAGAATTCCCCTTTGGTACAGCGACTTCTTGAATTTAAAGGTAGTGCTACATTGGCAGCTAGGTCTCACCATTTTACTGCTGAACTTGCTAAGTATAACCGTAAGTTCTATTCTAATAGTTTCTTCTTTCACACATTTCGTCTGTGAGCCCACTTCCAGATTCTGTCAGCTACAAACTATAAAAAGTACAATGTTAATCGTCATTTTTGTCTCGTCGCATCCTTATTGATCTTTCTCCTTGTTATGGTCCAAGTTCCTTGTACCACGGTGATGGTCCAAGGTTAGAACCAATGAAAGAATAACACGAACACAGGTATGGAATACAAAGATATATTACAACAGAAATATAATACAAAGAATTCGAAGTATTAGCAATAACTATCAGATTTGGTTAGAGTGAACTATGTTGTCTCGACAAGTATCACTATTCCAATGTCCTTACAATATGCTCTCAATTATCTCTCCTCGTCTTACAATCTCCTCATACCTCTTGAGAGGCGCAGTATTTATAATGTCAGAAATTTTTCATTATTATTATGGGCAAGTTCCCATATCACTCCTCAATAAGTTTTTGCCAGTTTCCTTCACTCGCATTACCTTTGCGTCTTAGTAGTATTATCGTCTTGAGGATGGATTTTGGTTTGGTTTGGTTTACGGCCTATCAACCTCAATGGGTCATTTAATACCGATAACGTTTTTCCTGGTAATATTTTTGTTTTGTCAAAAATCTATTTCTGGTAATATTTTTTTACAAATATTTCTGGTAGTCAAACCTATTTTTATACTTTCAAAATGCTTTTTACCTAAGTTTCGGGATTAACTATTTGCCCATAGCTAGGACCTCCTAACAGGTGCTGCCACCCCGTGTCAAGTTGGACCTGTGAACACCAGCAATTAAGAGGTGGTTGCATGCTCCTCAAAGCTTCCTGATCAGAGGCCTTGCGTTGGACGTAGTTTGTCGTCTTAACCTCGGCGCGGATGTAGTATATCGTCATACCCAGGACGATCTTGAGGATGGAAGACATAATATCTGAAACTTGTGATAAAAACAACAAAGATGTATATAAATAAACAGTTGACTGTTGACTGTCTATGGTAACCGACTGGACGTTTTCCCGAGTATCTAAATATGGCTCCTGAGTTGATTCATTAATCTTACTTTTCAAACTTAGAAATAACTCTTCTTGACACCTAACAGTGGTATTAATTCGTGGGCGATGATCTATCTGAAGGTTTATTTTTAAGCCTCAAGCTTTTAAATGGAAGACGCTCTGAACTGAGAATGAAACTTGTATCAGATCTGAGCTAAAACGCTATAAAGGTATTCCTAGATATGGACAGAGAAGCGAGAAAGTTCTACTCTTATAGATTAAACAAATGTTTTAGTCCGAAAATGCAGAGAGATGAAGATGAAATCGACGTGGAAGGGAAGACGCCCGTTAGATTGTTCACCTACGCTTCAACATGGCTTCGATCTTCTAGGTTACAACCTGAGAATAAAATCTGCTTACTGTTACAAATTCGCATGGTATTAATTCGTGGATGACGATCTGGCGGAAGATCTATTTTTAAACCACAAGCATTTGAACTGAAGACCCTGTACCCTGAGAACGGACCATATGTGTGGTCTGAACTGAAATGCTATATAGGTATCCCTAGAAACAAAAACGTTCTCCTCCTCTAGATTAAACAAAGGTTTGAGTTCGAAATGACCTTATGGCAATGAGTTTAAGATTAGTACCAGATTGACAGCTAGGTTTCATCATTTAACTATTGAAATTGCTGAATAAAACCGTAAATTCTATTCTAATAATTTCTTCTCTCGCACTTATCGGTTGTGAACTCACTTCCAGATTCTTGCATTCTTGTCAGCTATAATCTATAAAAAAATACAAAGTTAATAGTCATCTTCTGACTCGTTATATCCTGTTTGATTTATGGTTCTCTCTTCTCAAAAAAAAATTCTCAGTTTTCTTTACTTTAATCGCCTTGTTTTGGGTGAAATGATTGAAAGAAAAAATGGTTACACGGATCGACAGTTACTTTTAAAGTCTGAAGAACACGAAGATGACAAGAATTGTACGCTTGTAAATGCGCAGTTTGTTGTGTTGTTATCTATTGTTTTGCTTCTATAACATTTTCACTCTTCAATATTTGTTCATTGGAGATACAAAAATCAAGAACGTACAACAATTTAAATAGCTGGGATGTATTTTAAAAGAAGACGTTGAAATCCGAAGGCACATTGGGATAGCGAAATCTGCATTCCAAAAACTAAGCAAAGAATAAAGAAACAGGAAAATTGTGTTAGAAACAAAGAATAGAACCCTGGGAATGTTATGTAATGTCGATCTTTCTACATGTCAGTGAATACTAAACAATCTCGTCACAAATGAAGAATATACTTGAGGCAGCAGATATGTGTTTCTTCAAAAGGATGCTGAGAATGCAATGGACTAAAATAGGAGAAACAACGAAGTAAAATGGAAACAAAAAGGACACTGATAGTTTACATCAGATATCTAAGGCATGTAATAAGGAAAGACGACTTGGAAAATTTGACACTCACAGCACATATTGAAGGTAAGAGGGACAGGGGGAAATAGCACATAACCTCCCCTGCGAACCTGAGTAAACGGGTAGCAAAACAGTATTTAGGAGAAATAAAAAAAGAGACGAAATTTACAAAAATCTACAAAAGAGAGGAAATTGTGGAGGACAATAATAGGCAACGTACTGAAGGGACATGGCATCTATCTATCTATCTGTATCTATCTATCTATGTATCTATGTATCTATCTATCTATCTATCTATCTATCTATATATATATATATATATATATATATATATATATATATATATATAAATATTTTATGGTACAAAATTTAATGATAGCTAGGAATAAGCAAAAATTATATGGCATTTTAAAAAGCTAAAATAAAACAAAACAAAAACAAACAAACGGTTCCGTCCCAGCCTTATCTAGTTTATATCTGCGGTATAAAAAGCGTTTAAATTTAATTAATATTAATGATAATGAGTGGAGGAAAAAAGATATGAATTTCAAGAAAGCTAGAGTTCAATAACAATCAGACCGAGTAAGCATTCCCTCTGTTTACAAAGGGAAGGCCCACAGGATCTGATATAAAAGAACTCTAGAACCTTGAGGTAATATGAGGAGTGGGACCTAGATAAAATCGAAAAACGGTCACCACCAAAATCAAGAACGCAATTTCTGCTATTTATTACATGCTCTACAATTTTTTTATCTTTTTAAAATGACATAATGTTTGCTTATTCCTAGCAATCATATAGATAGATAGATAGATAGATAGATAGATAGATAGATAGATAGATAGATAGATATGCTGGGTTCTCCCGTCGAGAGTCAAGCAGCTCAGTTCCTACAAGGTCCCCAACTGGCCCTCCACAGGTTTTGAATTCAGAGTTGTCCTTCTCCTATACTAGTTGCCATCCAAGGCTATAGAACCCAGTCTGTACTGCTATTTACCCATAGCTGAGAGGAAAAAACGTAACTGAATTTAATGGATTCGAGTGAAATTTGAACTCGGCTCTCCGATTCCTCAATATATATATATATATATATATATATATATATATATATATATATTGTCATCCACAGACAATTTCACAGCTTATCAATGTGACTAGACATCAGATATATATATATATATATATATATATATATATATATATATATATATATATATATATATATATATCTCATATATATATATCATACTTATATATACACATACACATATCACACACACTCTTAAAGAACTAAAAGATAACATACATTTAATACACATTTCTCGTTTCCAGCAAACAATAAAACTGTCAAAATGACCAAGAAAGGAATTCTTAAAGTATCCTATCCTCTATCTTAAAAAAAAACAAACAAAGAGTCTGTTTGACCAACACACGGACTGACCAAAATTAACGATAAAAAACAAATGAAAACTACAGATAAAGTTCACTTTTTTCAGAAAGAGTCCTTTACTCCTGCAATTCACTGCTACTAACAAACAGGGATTTTTTTTCTCCTATTGATGGACATGTTGGCCGAACCTAATGGAGGAAACTAATTGAAATAATAAAACAAACAATTATTAATATACAACCCAGTGTGTCTGAAAATGTTAAGTTTTTAATATTTTTTATTGTTCAAAACATACATATACATGCATATTATAGAGGGAATAACAACAGAAATTACAAGTGACAATCGGAAGACACTTTGTTGCTATAAATGCAGCACCAATGAACAAAACAGCCGTAGCAAAAGCATTCATTGTAAAGGCAGCTGTAGTAGCCGATGTAAATGTCTTGATTGCAACAAGGTGCAGGCCATTGGTAGTAATACGTTTGAGAATTTATTCTGAGTAGAATTTTTTTCTTAAATGCTGATGTTGATAAATAAGTCCGGTGCATGATGAGGAAAATAGTACAAAAAAATATGAATTTTTAAGCATAATCTTTTTCCTTGTCAGTACATATCAATCAAATCGATCAAACATTATTTAGTTTTAATTGCAAATTAAAATCTAATAATTAAGCCAGGCTACAGATTTAGTGATTCCTCCTTGAACATTTAAAATATATGTGGCTGAGTCTGGAATCAACATGAAAAACTGTTGTCGTTTCTTTTGAGTCGAACTAGGTCTCCTTTTGTTATTTGTTACAGTGGCGGTGGTTCGGTGCTATGAATGACTAAGCAAGAAACATTATTTGAGGTAAATGCCGAGAAGCGTGGGTAAAAAAATAAATAAATGAAACAGGCAGATACACATTTAAATATATGAAGAGACAAATTTCTCAGAATACAATTAATGGAAGAAAAAGAGAGAATATGGCATGATAAAGAAAGAAAGAAAGAAAGAAAGAAAGAAAGAAAAAGGTAGATTTGTCATAATTGAATTAATGAAGGAAATAAGGAATGAAGAATGGAAGGAAGAAAGAGACTAAGAAATAAAAAGGAAAATTTGCCATAATTAAATTAAAGAAAGAATGAAAAAAAAAGAGAATGAATGAAAGAAAGAAAGACAAAGTCAAAATTATCATAATTAAATTAATGAAAGAAATAAAGAATGAAAGAAAGAAAAACAGAGGTAAATTTGTCATAATTAAATTAATGAAAGAAAAAAGGGAAAGAAAGGAAAGGGCAAATTTGTTTTAATTAAATTGATGAAAGAAAGAAAGAAAAATGAAAGGCAAAAGCAAACTTGCCAGAATTTACTTATTGAAAGAAAGAAATGACACGAGAAATTAAGAAAAAAAGAAAGAAAGAAAGAAATGAAAAAAGAATGAAAGAAAGAATGAAAAAAATGAAAGAAAGAAAGAAAAATGTATAATAAAAATTGAATAAAAGATAAGTTAACAACAAAGATAGAAAAAGGGGAAAGTGAATTTGTAAGAAGGAAATTAGGAAAAGAAAGGCGACACGAATGAGAAAGCAGAAAAGAAGAAAGAAAAGAAGAAAGAAAAATTATAAGTAAAAAAATAGGAGAGAATGAGAAAATAAAAACGACAAGAAACACAAAATATGAAAGCTTGAAACGTGCTGGTAAAAAAGTAAAAAAAAGAAATTTTAAAAGAAGTAAAGACTGAAAAAAGAACGCATGTGATAAGGAGAGAAGGATGGAAGAAAGAAAAGAGGAAAGAAAAAGGAATTGAAATACAAAGGAAGGAAGGAAGGAAAGAAGGAAGGAAGTGGGAAATAAAGAGAAACTATTGAAAACATGGATAAAAAAAATAAAAAACAAGTAAAGTTGAAAAACATCGAAGAATTGATTGGCATACAAAAAAATACTACCCCACTACTACTACTACTACTACTAGTAGTACGACCACTTTCTATAACTGCGGTGGCTGCTGCTGCTGTGGCTTTGTCGTTTATCACGAAATACAAAATTCTCAGAGGTTTAACACAGGAAATCAAGCGATGAGATTCTTCCTGTTAGGCTTATTTTTTATTTCCGTTATTTCGAAACCAAAAAAAAGCGAGGATACAGAATGTCAACCAAACGAATCGATTTCAAATAGGTTCAATGTTCCTATTCTATGCTTCAAGACGTGAACGACCATGGTCCTCCACAACTTCTTATGCTTTGTAGCTTTTAGTTAGATTGCTATTTCCTCTATTCCCTTTTCCACCAACCATTTACACAGCTCGTCAGAGGACAAAGGAAAACAGAGAATAACCATTCGCTTCTTTCCTCTGTCTTGCTTTTCTTCAATATGTCCTGTTAGTCTCAAATTCTTTAAGCCTTCTTTCGTCATTACGTGCCTAAGAGATTTCAATTGTCACTTTCTGATTCTAACTATGAGTATGCCCTTTGTGTTTGAATATTCTATAAAATTTCATCGTAACTTTTGTTCAATCTGTGGCATTCGCAGTGTCCTTCTGTAAATCCATATTTCTGCTGCCTGAAGCTTCTTCTTCATAAGTACTGAGGTTAACCAGCACCAAGTGCCACATAGGAAGAGTGATGTTACATAATATAACAAAAATATTATTTTTCTTTGTTTCTGACCAATTTTTTTCTGTTTCTTAATATGTTTGGAATGCAATTTTCACAATACCAATGCCCCTTTGGATTTCAGTTCCTCTACTTTAATTTCTGCATCTGCTATCTGATGAATCCTGGCAGGACTTCTAATTCTCCCAGAACCGCCTTACTGTATAGGTTGAATAACTCCGGTTAGAAGATACAGCCTTGCCCAACAGCCTTTTCTATTTTTTTGTCTGCCAATGTCGATGTCAGTAGTGAGTAATGCTGAAGTTTTAATTAACTGTTTCAGTATCTGTCTATATTTCTGAGATGAGGTATTAAGTACACTATTTACATTATTCTGACTATTGTCCTCATCATTGTCGCCATATTTATTACAACGTTTCGGCCTTTCAGTATGTCCATATTTATGAGATGAGGTATTATGTACATTATTTACATTATTCGGACTATTATCTTCATCTTTGTTGCCATGTTTATCACAACGTTTCGGACGTTGGACGTCCCAGCCTTCTTCAGGTGGTTGGAATGTCGAACAGAACCCTTTATTTCGCTCGCTGGGGTAGACTGTTCTAGTTCCACGTGCCATGTCTAATGGATATCAGCTATGACCTGTTAATTCCCCTTTGAGAATTCTCCGCCGCCTTAACCAGGTATTGAACTCACACTCTTTGGGTCCTGTCACTGGATCTAACTAACGCCTTTATCCACTGTGCCATGTCTCTTTGAGTCCAATACATGATTAAGTCGGTGGAGAATTAAGGGGAATTAGCAGGAGATAACTGACATCCATTAGACATCGCACCCGGAACTAGAACAGTCTACCACAATGAGCGAAATAAAGGGTTCAGTTCGACGTTCCAACCACCTGAAGAAGGCCGGAGCGTACAATGGCCGAAACGTTGTGATAAAAATGGCGACAAAGATGAGGACAATAGTCCGAATAATGTAAATACTGTTTTTTTTTTATCGTCAAACCTAAGATTTCATGCCATAATCCGAATGTCTGTCTGGTCATTCTCATTTTTCTAAGAAGACTTAGAAAAATCGTTTTATAACAGAGAGATATGAAGCGCTCTTAAATGTATTTTGTACTTCAGTTTATTTTTGCTGAAATATTTGAACTCTAACCTGATGAGTAGTAGCCGGAAGTAGACACTTGGAAGAGAAAAAAATAGAAAGAAATTAAAGAAAGAAAGGAAGGAAGGAAGAAAGAAGAAAGTGAAGAAAGAAAGAAAGAAAAAAGGAAAAATGAATCAAAGGAAGGCAAAAAATGAAATAAATAAATGAAGAAGAAGGAAAAAATGAATGAAAGAAAACATGAAAAGGAAGAAAGAAAGAATGAAAAAGAAAGAAAAGGAAATAAAAATAAGAAATAAAAAAGGGATAAAAGTAAGAAAGAATGTAGGAAAATAGAAAGAAAGTATGAAATATAGAAGGGAAGAAAGACCGATAAATGCAAAAAAAAATCAAATCCATCAACAGAAAGGAAAGAGGAAAGAAAAATTCTGCTGATTTCTCACCTTGATGCACAAGTACCGATCCCCAAATGAGGATTTAGCTGAAATTTGCAAATGAACAATGAAATATCAATTTACATTATTTACATTGTTCGGGCCTTTGTCCTCATTGTTATTGTCATATATACGACGTTTCGGCCGTTGTATGCTCCGACCTTCTTCAGGTGATATACGTTAAAATTTCGAAGCGAAAACTTTATTTCGTCCACCGGGGTAGATTGTTCCAGTTCCACGTGCCATGTCTCTTCCAGATATCCCAGTTTCAATTACTTCCCTTAGTAACTCAACTGTCCAAGTTTTTGTTCACCTCTGCTTTTGGTCAGGTATTGAACTCACATTTTTGTGAGTCAAGTCACTGAATTAATTCAGCCAATACTTTTATCCACTGAGCCCAAAGTAAATAGTATAAATAGTTACATTACCTCATCTCAGAAATATAGACAGATAATGAAATACCAATATAAAAAAAAACAAACTCCAGGTTATTCCTTGTCAGAAAAGTTATGAGGTTCGATCATAATAAAAAAAAAGCTGTCCTGTCTATGACGATAAACAACATCCGCATCCTGGGTAAGACGATAAACTACATACGCGTCCTGGGTAAGATGATAAACTACATCCGTCTGTAAGGCCTATGACCAGGAGGTTTTGAGGAGCGTGGAAATACCTCTTAATTGCTGGTGTTCTCAGGTCCACCCTGACTCAGTGTGGTAGTTCCAGTTAGGGTCCCAGCTATGGGCAAATAATTACCCCCCCAAATCTGGAGTCAAAACACTATGAATGCGTAAAAACAGGTTTTAATACCAGCAATAAATTTTTGCAAAAGAATTATTACCAGTAATGAATTTTTGAAGGAAAAAATTTTTACGAACCATACATTTAAAAAAAAAAAAAAATATTACCAGCAATAAAAATCTTTTTCTGCATTAAATAACCCATTGAGGTTGATATACCATAAAACAAAACAAATCAAACCCAATGAAAAGTCAAGTTGAACGGCCACTCTTCTGAAAGCATTCAATTTATTGATTACAAAATTTTTTCCAACTGGTCAATTAACAAACTCAAAGCAAAATATATATACTTTAGTCATCAGAAATAAATATTCTGCTTTCAATCAGGATGGCTGATGCTAATCCCCAGGTGATCAATTCATTGCAGGTTTTCTTCATATCACGTTTTCCACTAACATGAAGTGGAATTCCTATGGGAAAGTAGATTCACTGTGTAATGGCATAAAATGTTTCTTGAAGAATCCTTCTTGCACATTTATAAATCTACCATTCGTCCGTACAGTGAGTATTTCAGGCCATATTTTGTCAGATGGCCTGCTATATATATATATATATATATATATATTGTTATGGATCCACCCCTTTTTCATACAAGTGGACTCGACCAGTGTGTATTTGTACTGCTGCCAGTGAATACCAGTGAGGTAGAGTAATAGAGAGAATCAGAGTGTGAGGTAACCACTTTGTAGGAGTCACAGTTGTAAGCACGTAGACTCAGTAGGAAGTCAGACTTCGATACTGAATTTCCCAGACTGTATATATATTATTATTGCTACTAACCGCATTTCTGGATCTACTAACCGTATTACCAATTGTATTATTACAATACATTTATTTGCTATATTTCATTCCTGCGTTTTTCATTATATATATATATATATATATATATATATATATATATATATATATATATCAAGATCCTCGACAAAATCCTAAGAAATGTCTGTAATGTTATCGGCCCTAACCTGAGATTGAGACGACAGTTATTTTTCTACCGCTGAGACATATCTTCTCTTTGTCCTTTCTATAAATATTTCCATGGGAGTTGTTCTAATAAGCTTTCCTCCGAGGTAAATAGACCGCATGAATTTAAGCGTACTACAAGATTGGTTACCGTTTTTATTGTTTTTACTCTAGTCACAAACACACCGTTACATTACAACTATAAGAGTCGATAGGAAAAATTAGGTTCATCTATCGTTCGGTTCACACTCCTCCCCAATATTTTAATCAGGAGTAGATGTTTATCCCCTGTTTTCTGTTTAGGATTTGGTTTACGGCTTCTTCTACAGTCTGCTTCAACTCTATACTTCTGACGCTTGTCTTTTCCTATGCTAATATAATTCCAAGTAATTCTCTACCTTGGGTGGCTCTTGGGAATTTTATTGGGTGAACATTAGGAAAAAAACGTAAAATAAAATCTCACCTTATTAACACTGAGATTAAGTTTATTCCCTCCTCTGTCTAATCATCGCAAATTTTTCTTTTGGATTCATGTCCGTTTCTATCGGATTACTCTCTACAAATGGTATTGTTACTACTTCTCCCGTCGTCGATACAACGTCTACTAAATCGCTTTTGTAACTAAGCTCCGCAGATGGAAAGTGTGGATAGGTCCACGGCATCAATAAAAACAAGACCTCCGAAAAAGTGGATGCATCTTCTTTTAGTGTTAGCAGCCAGTGCGATGATGACATGGCGTCGCTGAGCGTATGGCTTCCTAGTCTAAAATCAACACGCAAGGCGGAGGATTTTCCCCGATTCAATTAACTGCGACATGTCGGTGACCAAGCATGAATCAATAGCTAAGCGTGAATCACTAATTAAGCGTGAACCTCTAGCTAAGCGTGAATCTCTACCTAAGCGTGAATCAGTAGCTCTCCTGCATTCAAAACAGATTAATGGACCAGGATTAGTCAGCTACTCAGCAATACAGCAGCATTACAGCCACACCCGATCATAGAAATAATGATGAGCCATGTTCATTCCGTTGATATGTTTTATAAAATGCCACGCTACGAGGCAGTGGAAGTTCCTGATTATTAAGTATATTTTTATATTCTCATTGTAAATTGTATTTCGATTTAATTAAAATTTACTGTATAATTTTATTAAAGAGACGTCGTGACGTGTACCAGCATCCACAGCTTTTTTATTTTACGCGCTTTTTTAAGTTGTATCAATAGACATAACCTTTTTATTTTATTTGTCAGTCGACGAAAATCATAATAGTTCATTTTTAACCTGTGTGTCAATTCTATGTATTTCTTCGTGTGAAAATCAAATGTGAATTCATTTTTTAGATAATAAAACATTTGCTTATAGCAATTTAAGTTTTAAAAAAAATGTTAAAAACTGATTTTAATACCATTTTTTGAACAAAAAAATATGTTGAATATTTTATGACTATCTCGTAAATACTGCGTTTTTACACGTGAAATAAAAATATCTATTTAAAGATATGTGTAAAATATGTTTATATATATATATATATATATATATATATATATATATATATATAAAATGTCTGTTTCAAGATAGGTCAAATTTGGCACTTCAATCTGTTTTTTTTTACATTTAAACATTTTATAAGAAATATAGTATTTTCATGTACTGTGAGAACAATGTCTTGAAAATTCAGTTAATAAATATGGTGCCCATTCTAATTCATATTGACAATGCAAAGAAAAAATACAACACGAGGCCAAAAAAATGGAGCCACACATAGAAATGATGATCAATAAAATATAAAGCTTATTACATTTGTATTTACATTCATTAACATTCCCAAGCATTGTTCTGACTTCGAGAAAGGCCAAGTCACCGATTTTCATGATCTTGGGCTGTCGAATAGATCGATAGTTGATAAGATTAATCGAAGTGAGTCATGTGACCGCAAGTTAATCAAAAAGAGAAATCAAACTAGAACACGTTATAGACTTAGCGGAACTGGCCGACCACTAAAAACTATCAACAGGAAAGATGGAAACTTGGTTCGTCAATGGAAAAAAAACCAACACGCAACAGCACAAGATGTTTCCAAAGCAGCTAGTTTGACGGATCCTTCAAGAGCAGTCAGACGCAGGCTTAAAGCAAAAGGCATTGTTTCCAAATACGTAAAAAAGAAACCTTTCGTATCAGGAAAAATCGACGGGCATAGTTGGCTGGGTGCAAAGCTGATTTACACTGGACTAAATCTGACTGGGGAGATGTTATGTGGGGTGATGAGAGTCTCTTTACTCTTAGACAGGAAGGACGAATATGTGTTTGGTGTACGCCCGGTGAAATGAATATTCCAGTGGCTATCAAGGGCATTGTTAAACACGATAAAAGTATCAACTTGTCTTGGTAAAAATACAAATATCGACTTTCAATGGGTGCGTTCATTTTTTTTTTTTTTTTGCTTCGTACTGTACATATATTTCTTCATTTTGCAAATTATAAAACGCAATATTGTTTAATATTTAATTGAAAAATGAATTTTGCACTTGGCAAAATACAATAGATGCAATGTTATTGATCCTGATTTGGCATCTTGGCTTCAGTCACTTTCTTACCGTCGTGACAGGTTCGCTGCGGCCTTTTCTATAAATAATTTTATGGTAATTGTTCTGATGGACTTTCCTCTATCATTCTATAGAGAATTTAAGCGCAATACTAGATTGGCGATTAGGTCTCATCATTTTAGAGTTGAAATGGCTTGATATAACCATATGTTCAATACTAACAGCTTATTCTCTCGCACTTCTCGTTTCCGGCTTCTTGATTTCCAGTTGAACTTCAAAAATTTAATTTCAGTGTCAATCGTTATCTAATGCCTTCTTAATACTTGTTTTTTTATTGTTCGTTTTCGTTTAGTGTTTTTTTCATATTCTCTAACACCCAGTAACCTCTTGTGTCCTAGTTACTTTATTGCCTTGCTTTTTTTAAATATACTTATTCAAGCAAAACCGTATCAAAAATCGACGTTCACAATATCTTTGAGTTTAATAAGGGATGAATACAGGGCAACGTATGAAAGCATTCAGGCAAATGAAAGACGAGTAGGTATAATATTAGACAAAAAGATAAAGATATGTTGTTGGTCCTGACCTGACATCTTGGCTTCAGTCACTTTCTTACCGTCATGACATCATGACTGAAGCTTTATCTATCAGTAACTTCATGTTAATAGTTCTTGTGAACTTTTCTCTATCATTCTATAAAGAATCTACTGTCTGTTTTATCCTTGATCTTTTCTTGTTCTCTTTCGTTAATACTGTTGTTTTTTTCATATTCTCTAACACTCAGTACCCCCCCCCACCGCCTTGTATGTTAGTGTCTTTATTGCTTTGCTTTTTTTAAATATACATATTAAATAAATTGCTTGGTTGAATCAATTAAAATGATGGTGTCCATCTTTGATTCATATTTTTTGCCATCGGCTTTTTGCTCAAATCTTGAGTTCGAATATCTCCATCTATTTGATCTTTTTGATGAGAATTTTGTTGAAAAATTGGTCACCATTTTTACAATTCTTTCTATGCTTTGTAGAAGACAATGCCAGGTTTGGTACCTTCATTGGAAACTTTATGAACTTTACACCCTAATGTAGAGACATTTAAGTGAGTGATGCCATAAGAGGAAACGAAAAACGTGAGACAGAAATCCAAAGACACATTAGAATAGCTAAAGTTGTCTTCCAGGAACTATGCAAAATACAAAGACAGGAATATTTCTTTAGAAACAAACGGAAGAATACCGAACTGCTATGTAATATCTGTCTACTTATATAGAAGATAATATTGAAACATCTTCACAGAGGAAGAAGAGAATCTACAATACACAGACGTGGTTCTACAGAAGGATGTTGAAAATACCTTGAACTTTACAAGCGACAAATACAGGAAAACATATGCAGATTTTGAGGCAAATGAAAGAGGAGTAGGTATAATATTAGACAAAGAAATGAAGAAATGTGGATTGGGAAACATTTTAATAGTAAATCAGAGTTCTTCTCGTAACCGAAACACGAATCCTTTAAATACGGCCATCATATTCGTATACGGGAATCCGTTACAGAGCAAGGAAGAATAGATACTAACATACTAGATAATGCAATGCAATTCAAAATATCGTCCAGAACAGATTGACTCCTTAAAGATCAATAAAACTCTTAATTTTTTTTAAATACTATATATAATTTTGGTAACTATAGTTCAATGACTAATATAATAAATTACTTTTATAAAGAATTAGTTCTCTATCTTTCATTGTGCCTTTGGAGTGATATTACAGGTTTTGGGTGAATTCTAGTAAAATAGCGTATTTTGACATTCTGTGACCTTGAAAAACTATTTGAATTAAAAAAAAATATTTTGTTCAACATACTTAAATACAGCAAATACCCAATTGATTGACACTATTTACATTATTCGGACTATTGTCCTCATCTTTGTTGCCATATTTATCACAACGTTTCGGCCCTTCAGTATCTGTCTATATTTCTGAGATGAGGTATTATGGACATTATTTACATTATTCGGACTATTGTCCTCATCTTTGTTGCCATATTTATTACAACATTTATGAGCACTTGTTAAAAATGGTTTCTGAAGACATTAGTTTTATAATACCCAGAAATCCATACACAGATGTCCTCAAGGACACATGACACAGTGGATAAAGGCGTTAGATAGATCCAGTGACAGGACTCAAAGAGTATGAGTTCAATATCAGATTAAGGCGGTGGAGAACGTTGGGAATTAACAAGAGATAACTGATAACTGACATCCATTAAACATGTCACGTGGAACTAGAACAGTATACCCCAGCGAGCGAAATAAAGGGTTCAGTTCGACATTCAAACTAACTGAAGAATTACATTGGGTAGACAGAACTCTTAGAGAGCCGTCGATGGTTGTGCTAGCACGAAGTCACAAGTCATCGTGACCGAGGGTTTCAGTGAGCTGGCCTTGTTCACAGTGTTGATAACGCGCTTTCCTTCAGGTGCGCTCAGTATAGATGCGGTATAAACCACAGGTGGGCTCTCTGGGTGTTGAACAAACGCAAATATGCCTTCGGCAGTAGGGATTAGCTAGCCGCCCAAGTAGACGGGTATCTTCGGATATGAGTGGTCAGCCACTACATCGTCTGGTCCCGACGATTGCGTCTAGCATGAAACAGCCTTTCGCCTCTGAGTGTTGACTTCAATGTTCATATATATATATATATATATATATATATATATATATATATATATATATATATATAGAACTGTCCATAATATATATATATATATATATATATATATATATATATATATATATATATATATAAAAAGAAAAGAAGAGAGGTGCCGCAAACGTTTTTGGTTGTAATGTGGATTTTTTTAGAAAAAAAAATATTATGCTTTATTTTCCATAATTTTACTACACGTGTTTCTGGTCTCGTGACCGTCTTCAGATAAAAGCGGAGATTTCCACATATTATTAAAAATAATTAATTTTTTCCTTATGTTTTTCAATGTTAAATATTCTCGATATGAGACATTCTCTGTTTTTGTGCTCACCTAGTCAGAGAGAAAGACGAGTTGGTCTCTCAGAAACCACCTTGTGCAAATTAACCGAATTAATTTCCTTTCTTTCACCATACGGTAAGTTTTAGACCACCTAGAGTGACAATGTGTAATCGATTTCTATTTTGCCTCAGATTAGGTCATTTTCAGTGGTGTGCAGTAATATGAATCTATTTTCGGGGTGTATGATGAAATTTGTTTGGTTTTGAAAAATATTGCGTCATCCGTGATTGCATCAGATTTTTATCACGCCCTATTGTTTCGACTGTCGATTAGTTGTCCTGTGGCTATTGTCTGCCATGGACGTTACTCTAAGGAAGCATATGAAAATTGTAAGGCTGCACGAACACACTGGCAAGCTTTGCTAGTGAGCAAATCAAAGTAATATCGACTAGCTCGGAAACTCTCCTGATTTAAATCCAATCGAGACTCTGTAGTCAGTCTGCAAGGAACCAATTCATGGAATGGGCATATGAAGTATTAACATATGCACTTGGTTATATTTCATTCTAAAAATATGAAAAAAAAACTAAATAACAATGGAATTATTCGTTTTGTTTTAATTAATTTGCACAAGGGTGTATATTGACCAGCTATATTATGATACAGAATACCTCCTTAGTGACCTTCTGGCCTTTATGCAGGAGAATCATAAAAACTTAAGAAAATGATGGTATTTTCTGTCCTCTTAATGCAGAGAATTTCATAAATTTTTCTGTCTTCTAAATATAGAGAGTTCTATAAAGATGATATATTTTAATTACCAATCCTTTATAATGAAACTATTGAACCATGCAAAGAATGTAATGATTAAAAGATACAATAATATGTTTAAAAATAACAGATATTATTTCGGTCATAAGGTATTTCATGTAAAAAAGTATAAAAGATGAAGTTACTCTAGTTTTTATACTATGGTGTCTGGGTTACATAAAACAGAGTGACTTCATTGACTGTTGGCAAACCCAGTACATCTGTCATTGTGATTTTCAAAGAAACTTTGAGTTGGAGAATGGACTCCATATAAATGATTATCAATTTTTTATTTAAATGTTTTAATTTTCAGATCAGGCATGAACACTTGGGAATTGAACATTTTCTGTCCTCTAGTTGTTAAGCGTTTCATAAACATATTTTCAGGACAAATCCTTTTGGAAATAAGAAGAGAACAATGCATATAATGATTAAAATATATCGTATTATGTTCACAAATATAAGAATTGTTTGTTTTTCTATTCATCATCGGCCATTTTTCTGAAAGAGACTGACACAGTTATACAACGGCTTAGCAACAAGCCTCGTCTTTAAATAAGCTATACATATTGCGCGGATTAATTTCACTTCTGAGACACACCAGCCCAACTTAATTGTTGTAATAGCCGATGAAGGACTATGTATACTTTGATTAATTAAACCATTTGTAGAGATCTGTTGTGTATTAGATGTTGCCATAGATACTGTGAGGACACTAGCCAGGATGTGTGCAAATTCTGAAAACAGGTGCTTTGTGGCAATGCTAACAAAACATGACTAGTAACACAAAAAACTACTTGAATACAAAAATAGTATAAAAGGTTGGATGGAATACATCGTTACGTCCTCCTTATAAACAAGTACACAGTGAAATACAAAACGGTTAAAATGGCTAAGAAAAGATGAAAAGATATCTGAGAAATAGAAGACGGAAAAGGCACTGTCATTAATATATCAATCCTAAAAGACATATTTCAGTAAATAAACAATTGGGGAGCACCCGGAC